GCAACCTTTGAAATCCCTCAATGGGTTTTACTTGAATCGATAGAATGTGACCCCTTATCTACAGCTAACTTACTCTGGTTGAGGCCTATAGACCGTCGTTCTATAACTAACCCCATCACTTCTCACTTTTTATCCTTATGGGATAAACTGAAAACCCAATATCCCCTCCAATCGCAACACAATCCTCTGCTCTCGTTTTTACGAAACCCAGCCTTTCCCCCGGCCTGGCAGACGCCCCTTTTATTCAAAGCCTGGTCCTCCTCTAATTTGCTCCGCACACATCATTTCCTACAGAGGAATAAGTTTAAATCTTTTACCTCGCTGCGGGAAACACACGACCTCCCAGCCTCCGAGATCTTTAGATACTTACAACTACAACACTTTTATGCTCCCTACGCTACAACGACAAATCGGCCATATGCTATGTCTTTCTTTGAACGAGCGTGCTACAAAGACCCCCATAGGCGTGGGCTTATTTCTAGCTTATATTCACTCTTCACTACTTCGATTACCACGTCCCCCCCTCCGTATACCCACAAGTGGGAAGTAGATTTAGACAAGAAACTTGACCAGTCTGACTGGGATCACATTTGGGCCAACACAAAATCATCTTCGCAGAACATTGTAGCATTGGAAACGAATTATAAAGTTTTAACCCGTTGGTACTTGGTCCCAGCGAGAATCGCAAAATTTACCCCTAATTACTCGCCCAACTGTTTTAGAGGCTGCACAGACTTAGGGACACATTACCATGTGTGGTGGGAATGCCCAGTGGCCCGAGCCTTTTGGGATGAAATTTTCACCATGCTATCTACACTTAGCGCTATCACCCTACGACCTGACCCATCAACAGCCCTACTCAATCAGTGCCCCCCTGACGTCTCCAATTCGCAATTTAAGCTCCTTATGCAAGTTACAACAGCGGCTAAGCAGGTTATAGCGAAATCCTGGAAATCCCCCACTCTTAGTGTTGCTGCCGTCAAAACCAGAATAACACAAGCCATGATACATGCAAAGGTGGAAGCCACATTACAAGACATGATCCCTAAATTTCTGCACATATGGAACCCCTGGGTAGAGCACTTCCTCCCGCCTAACTTTGACGAATCACTCCTTCTGCCTTGATTTCTATATTGTGTGCCCAGGATTCTGTCAATAGTCCATCGTGGGCTACAAGTAGAGTCTGCTGTAAGTTAGTTGATTGTACATGGAGTCACTGTTATTGTTCCTTTTCCCATACCCCCCCTTCCTCCCCGTCTGACCCCCCTCCAAACTTCCCCCTATTTCTTCAATGCACCTAGGAGATGTTATTTCGATCGGCTAGGACGATAATGTCATCTATTGTCGACTTTTTTCTTGTTCCTGCTTTTGCTAGAATTGTATAGACATCTGTAATGTGTTCCACATTCATTTTTCTTCATTGTCCTATTGCCTCTTCAATATCCAATGTATATCAGCAAAGTCTCCTTGTTTGTGCTATTAAAATCTCTCTTGTTAATAAAAATGTTTGAACAAGAAAATGATACTGACAGATTTTTTGTAACACGATGCAGATCTAGATGTTTTACTGATTAGTCAATCTTTTTTTGATAATTTTCAGATGGTTATAATTATGCTGACTGATATAATTTTTTTTGCCATGGTGGTTCACTGTATCTCACATAATGTCCAGGGTTTTAATTCCCCAAACAAGCGTAAAACGGCCATCCTCTAGTATAGACGCCTAAATGCAAAGATTGATTTGTTACAGGAAACCCATTTCACATCCGCTAAACACCCCACATATTTCCACAGATCCTACAAGCAGGGGTTTTACACCTTACACTCTACTAAAAGTAGAGGTGTAGCAATTTTTCTCCACAACTCATTCCCCTTTGATGTTCAACATGTTTATCAGGATCCCGAAAGCAGACTTATCATTCTTAAAGGTACCCTTTCGGGTTGTGCACTCACCATCGCCAAGGTTTACCTAATGTGGCGCAAGCATTCTTTTTTTCACACTGTTTTACAGTTCTGGATACATTTTTATCCTTCCATTTATTGGTGGGAGGGGACTTTAATTTGGTAGCTAACCCCCTTCTAGACAGAAGTTCATCCTCACCTTCCTCCCTGGCCTTTCCAAAATCCCTCACTAAAAAACTAGAAACTTTCCAATTGATGGACTCCTGGAGGGCACATAATGTGGGGGAGAGGGACTATTCATTTTACTCCCACCCACATAACTCTTACGCTAGGCTGGATTATATTTATTGCTCCCTCATACTGCTAGCCAACTCCAGGAAGGCAGATATACATACTGTATATGCTTTTGGTCGGATCATAACATCGTAGCACTCTCAATCACTAGGTCTAGCACCTACCCCCTACTCCTGGAGATTAAATGATTCTATGCTTACAGATGTTAACTCCCGTCAGGAAGTAGTTACTTCAATCCAAGAATACTTTCAGCTGAACGCCACCTCTGATATTTCCCTGGCTACTCTGTGGGTGGCCCATAAGGTGGTCCTTCGAGGCCGCCTTATATGGCATCATCTAGAAACAGGGAGCGGTGGAAGCAAATTCAGCAATTTACACAGGAATTAGAAATGCACTATAGAACTCATGTTGGCAATCTACTCATTAACAAAAAGCTGATATCGCAAAAGAGGCTGGAACTGAATACTTTACTATCCCAGAGAACTGAAAAAGCTTTACGATGCGTACTAAGAATGGTTCTATTTCCTCTTTACCTCATGAAGTATTGGGTGTTTTTGAACAATTTTGTTCCACCCCATTAGCTCCCCCACAAACAACCTCCACCCCTCCAGATAGCTCATGGCTCGATTCTCTGCCCATCCCTGCTCTCACACCCCCTCTCAGATAAGCTCCCTTAATGCCCTGTGTACCCTGGAGGAAATAACCTGCACGATTAGTGCACTGCAAAATTCCAGGGCACCAGGCCCAGATGGGATTTACGGCTAGTTATTATGAACATTTTGCCCCTGTGTTAGCTCCCTATTTGCTCTCATTGCTCAATAATACTTTGCAGGGTGGAAAGCTCCCTGAGGAGATGCTGTTGGCTAACATGTCCCTACTACCTAAACCGCTAAAAGATCATCATCTACCTCAAAACTATAGACCCATCTCTGTGATGAACAACGACCTTAAAATATTTTGTCGTATTTTAGCAAACAGACTGGTCCCTATTATTTCCTCTTTGGTCTCAACTCACCAATTGGGTTTTATTCCAGATAGACTTATCACAGATAATATACGTCTCACACTAAATGTTATTCAAGATGCTAACTTACATTCTAAAGAAGTGTTGTTACTATGCCTATACATTAATAAAGCCTTCGATAGTGTCCTCTGGTCCTATACATTCTCACTGTTGCAGAAGATGGGTTTCCATGACAAATTTCTGTCCGGGGTACATGCTTTGTATGCCTCCCCTCGAATTACACTGGGCAGGGGCACCCGGCAGGGATGTCCACTGTCACCTTTACTATTTGTGCTAATTTTGGAACCCTTGCCGATTGCTATTAGAACACACCCGAACATCTCGGGGTATCCCCTTTTGGTATCGCAATTTTATGTATGTATGCAGATGATGGCATGCTTTTCCTTACTAACCCTTTAGTATCTCTGCCGAATTTCTGCACATTATTGAATGAGTTTGCATCCATATTGGGCCTCACTAAATTTTACCAAATCAGTTGTTGTGCCTATTAATGTTACTGGCTCCCTGGGCGAATCTCTCCGCAGCTCTTTCCCATTTCGTTGGGCCACAGATCGGATCTCCTATCTGGGTGTGTATCTTACTCCCAGCTAATCGAGATTATTTGCAGTTAATTACCCACCATGTGTCATGCCTGTCTACTTTGTTAAATATCTGGCATGGATACCCTATCTCATTTTTAGGCAGAGTCACGGCAGTAAAGATGAATGTTTTGCCGAAATTATTGTACCTGTTTCGAGCTCTCCCAATCTCGGTCTCGAAAACTTTTCTAGATCGGTTTCAACGTGTGACTGGGCGAATATTAACTCCCAAATCCTTTGGATCAGATTCGAATCTCAATCTATACGTCCGTTCTATTTACCGTATATTTTATGGACGAAAATTCCCCCTCGCATGTTGATGTCCCATAATTCTATTGTTACCCACTCACTGATACTTTGGTCCCGTTATAAATTTTAATTCAATCTTATATCTTCTGTCCCACCGGATTCATAATTTTTTGGTGGTATGATCATTCCTTTATCAGATTATTTGATATTCAAAGAGGAGGGTCTTATATCAATTTTGTGATGCTGTGCACACTTTTTGATATCCCGCTCCGGGAATACCATTGTTATAGGCAAATTAGACATTTTTTTCATACACATTTTGATTTGACACCTTCATCCCCGATTACTTTTTTCGAACGTACTAGCTGTCACTCTCCTAGGGGCAGGGGTCTTATTTCAGACTTGTATCATCTTTTTTCGGTAACTATCTATTCCTCTTCCCCTTATATAGACAGAAATGGGAGGCAGATAGTGGTGTCACTTTTCTGAAGAGGATTGTGACTCCATGGTGGATAATATATGTAAGAGCTCTATTTCTCTTTTTGTTCGGGAGACAGACCTCAAAGTACTAACCCACTGGTATTATACCTCTTCTAGGCTGAGTGTCCTGTTTCCGGGGAAGTCCCATCTGTGCTTCCAAGGTTGTGGCCTAGCTGGTACCTTGGTGCACACATTTTGGGCTTGCCCAAACCTTTCTTTGGTGTGGCGCAGGGTCTCTGAAGTTGCCTCTGCCGTGGCACCTCTGCATCTATCTATGCAGTCTTGCCTGTTGGGAGCTTGCATCGCAGGAATATGGATGGGGGCTATGCTGCTAATCCATACCATCTGTGTTTCTGTCCTGTGGGCCATTGCCCTGCACTGGAGGTTGCCCATGGTGCCATTGCCCTCGGTTTTGCGGAGAGTTGATGCAGTGATGCTCATGGAGAGAATTCATTATATGTTACTGCAGGCCTTGAAATTTCCACTTGCCTGCTCGCCAATGGCGAGTGGAAATTATGGTGGGGGCGAGTGTGTCCCACAGGGCCATCTTGCTGAGCAGGCTCGGAGCTCAGGCCGGAGCTGTCATTGGCACTGGGAGCCGTCAGACTGCTCAATAACTGGGAGCAGTGAAAGAAAAGGAAGGAGTGTGTGCTGTGCTCTCTGCCTCCTCTAGAGTGAAGTACCCGGATCTGTGAGTGAACAACGAAGTACTGCAACTTTTTATAGGTGTGTGTGTACGTGTGTGTGTGTACGTACATGTGTGTGTGTGTCTGCGTATGCATGTACATGTGTCTGTGTGTATGTACATGTGTGTATCTGTACATGTGTCTGCATGTATGTACATGTATGTGTGTGTACATGTGTCTGTGTGTGTGTACATGTGCCTGTGTGTGTATGTGTTTGTGTGTATGTATGTACATGTGTCTGTGTGTGTGTGTATTTCTGTGTATGTACATGTATCTGTGTGCATGCGTGTCTGTACATGCCTGTGTGTGTATACATGTGTCTGTATGTGTGTGTGTGTGTGTGTGTGTGTGTGTGTGTACATGTGTGTCTGTGCATGTGTGTACATGTTTCTGTGTGTGTATGTACATGTGTCTCTGTTTGTGTGTGTTTGTTGGTGGTGAGTAACTTTTAAGGCCTGGCTAGTAGCTCAGGACTTGAAATTTTAAGCCCTGTGTTACTGGATGGGATGCAGTTATTCGACAGAAAGTGGGAGGTTTGGAAAACCCATAGACATTTACTATCTGAATAATTAATATTTATGATTCAATTGATCGTGTTTTTCTGTTGGTGCCATTATTGTTCTGCCTACCCTTTTACCTATCTTGCTCATACACTTAATTTTTATGCCTTACATGATTGTACCTTTTTGGAATGTATATTACAGATGTGCCTTGTTTCTGTTTTATATGTTACTTGATGCTGTAATGTTGTCTTTGCAGCCTATTTCATAAAAACTAATAAAATCATTTGTAAACAAAAAAAAAAAATTTTCAACACACCCCTTAGCGCATTCCTCATACCTCTTTCATTGGTTATGTCATGTCTGTACATGCCTTCCTCAGGGACCCAAAAAAGATGACTGCACAAATGCGAAAAGTCATCTCTGAGGGCCAGTGACTCTGCCACAATCTAATTTATGCTACAATGATGACATGACATGAAGTGTGTTATTTGAAACATTACCAGGTAAAAAGCCTGCATAAAGACAATGAATGCAGCCATCACATACTGTATAAGGAGTGATTAACTACATTTTTGTTGTTTTTTTTGGCTTAGATACACTGTAAAGATAACTTTTAAAGAATTCTGAATGCCACCCACCTGATCAAATTCTCACCTTCATTCTTGCTCCATTAATCTTTTACCATTTGGCCTTGTTGAGTGTTGCACAGCTTTGTTTCTGAAAACATCCTCTTTAGGTCCTCCTCATCCTGTGTGCATCATTCACTCTTTTGGTGGCCTCCATCAGTCTTGCAGAGTAAAACTCTTTCATAGAAATGGATGGAGCTGTAGGAAGCCTTTAACAGGCTGAACTTTTTTCAGAAGCAAGGCTGTGCATGCCTGGCGGGGCTGTGCAGTGAATATCACTGGATTGAGGACATAGATGAGTAATAGGCAGGGTGGGCTGCACTTAATGAAAGGGGGCTGTATTTATAAAAGGACAACTTGTACCAAAGGTGCACTTATGCTTTAATCTCACAATACAGCTAAAGTTTTGCTTATTGCCAGGAAGGAATAATAGTCACATAGCTTTTATCATGTTTATGAATAAGCATAGTACAATAAACATAGAAATAAGCATGATACAAATATTTCCAATAGGGATAATGGCCATCTTAACAAGATACAGAAAAAACATGAAATAAAAAGCGTCCAGGTAATTCCCATTCAAAAATTTAATGGAAAATCCAGTTAATAGATCATGCAAATACTAAAACTCTACAGGGTGCCAGCATTCGTCCATCATTAGATTGCCATTATTTCAAAAATTTATTTAGGTTTGTTTAATAACCTGTTCAATGGGGACACTACAAGTAACAAATGTAAAAAATGAATTCACTGTCTCAAACTGCAATATTAAATTTGCCCTAAAGGGGAAAATGCATGTAAATGGATTATCTGGATTATCAACCTCTTAGGATTTGTAAACATTTCCACAAAAGAATTTAACTTTCACTGTCAATTTAGCTTAGTGGTTAGCACTTCTGCTTGACAGCACTAGAGTCATTGGCTGAAATCTCAACCATGGCACAACCTGCATGGAGTTTGCATGTTCTCCCTGTGCCTGTGTCACTTTCCTATGGGTGCTCCAGTTTCCTTCCACTCTCCAAATACATCCTCATAGGTTATTTGGCTTCTGTCTAAATTGGCCCTATTATGTGTACGTATGAATGTGAATTAGGTACTTTAGATTGTAAGGTTCTTGACGGTAGAGACTGATGTGAACATACAATATATATATGTATGAATAGAATTTTGTGTAAATTGATGGCTCTTTATACAAATAGTAATAGTAAATAATTAGCACAGCATAAATTGCTTCAGATTGTAACATGAGAATGTATTGTTCATGAAGATACTCAGATGGAATCTATGGGTGAGGATGCACACGGGCTAAATGGTTAGAGTTTCTGCCTGGCAGTACTAGGGTAGTCGGTTCAAATCCCAGCCATGGCACCACCTGCCTGGAGTTTTGCATGTTCTCCCTGTGCCTGCATGGGTTTCCTCCGGATACTCCAGTTTCCTCTCACACTCCAAAGACATGCTGGTAGTTTAATTGAATCCTGTATAAATGTGTATGTATGAATGTAAGTTAGGGACCTCAGATTGTACATCCCTTGAGGGATAGGGACTGATGTGAATGTACAATATATATATGTAAAGTGCTGCATAAATTGACAGCACTATATAAGTACCTGTAATAGTACTCAAGCTTTTGTTTATACGTGTTCTTTGTAAGCTGCACTTAGTTATATTGTTCATTTAAACTATAGAAAACAACAACAACAGTTGACATCTAGTAATATTACAAAAGGTAAATGCTGTGCGTTAAGAATTTTTAAATACATGTGTCACATCAGAGTAAAATGTCAACATCTGTTCACAAGCATAATGAAGTCGTCCTTGTAAATGACACTGAAAGCTAATTTTATTATTTTATAATGCAAGGTGTCTCTGTCTGAATGACACGACTGGCAGCTAGGGTAAGCAGAGCTGACTGCAAAAAAAAAGTCATCTTATTTCAGGCCATTACAGGTAACAATGGGTAACAAAAACACCTTTAAATAAAGTTTAAAAGCACAAGTTTGTCCCTAAAACAGGTTCCATGAGTAACATATTTGTAGTGTGAAAAAACTGGGACAGAAACAGCAAATTTTAGCATATAACATGTTATTAAATACCATAGCCTGATGGCGTTTAGGAGCAGACCTAGTTCCATAAAAGCTTAACTGCCAAAGTGTTGTCCTAATACATGCTTTCTGTGAATAGTATATATCTAAGAGCAATCAGTGTAGGAAGGTGCTCACCTATTGTACTTCATTATTGGAGGCATATTACCCAAGTATGAACATGTTTCAGAATCAACAATTACTATTGCCTATATATGAAATTATAAAAGATGCATTACTCATTAATCAGATATATTTTATAATCTAAGAGACACCATCTTATTATTGATTGTCATTGAATGACAACTCTAGCAGTACTACATCTGACTGTACAAGACACTATTATCATGGTACATGTATGGTCACCCAGTTGTAGAACCCAGCAGATGGAACCACAGTACAAAGTAGACTACTAGGCATCTGACCCACTTAGAAGTGCCTTGGATGCAAAAGATCATTCAGCAAGCTTTGCAGTGAAGACCGGAGGCTTGTGTGGAAGGATTGATAAGTATTAACTGTTCTCTTTATACAATTAACTTTTTTACCCAAGGACAGAGACACTTGATATTTAATTAGATTTTACTGTATGCTGTTGTTGCAGTTGTGGGTATACTTGTTTCTAAAGGACACTGGATCTTTGAAGTCCTTGTGCTCCCAGGTTACAGGCAACACTTTCTGCAGTTCTCAGATAAGAAGATAATAAAAAACAAGACCCCGTAAAAATCTATATTAGACCTACAATTAATGCCTGATAAACTATATTACAATGTGACATAAAAAAACAAATTAAAACCAAATCGTAAATTAGGTGGACTTTCTAAAGCTGGCCAGAGATGTTGAAAGATCACACAAGCGAAATAAACAGAGGAATCCTCCCCACTGAAACATTGCATTCTGATAGCAGGGTCTCCTCCACATCAAGAAAATATATCCGAAAAGCCCGTTCAACAAAAGTCAATTAACTATCAACTGTTGAATAGGCATGGCCACACATACTGTAGATCAAAATTCGATCAGTGCCTTCTGACTCGGCTCAATTTTAATCCATCTATGGCCAGCTTAAATTTAGCACCACTGTGTTGTTTTCTGGATATAGTAGTTTTTTAATTATTTTACCTATTTAAGTAATTAAATGTAGGCACCCCTGTTTTGGCCAGCTCTGGACAAATTCTTATAAAACACTTTTAAAAGTGTTGTCTGTAAAAAACATTTTGTGAGACTACATAACAAGTAAAATGATGTAGATTCATTCAACTCTAAAATAAGGATATGAAGGCAGTATGCATTGGATAAAGTCCAAGCATTAATAGAACTACCATGCTTAAAATGTAGGAATGCCTTTAATATAATACCTATGATTAATTTTTGCAATATTATACATTTGTCTTCCTAATCACTTGTTAGGGCTTTGATGACAAGGATAACATTGGTTATTAAGATCTCTTGAGGCCCACTGATTCCAGCAGAATGTTAAGAGGCAATTACAGTCTCCTTACCTCCAGGATTCTGCCCATTACTTACTTGACAAGGCTACTACACCATTGTGACTCTGTTTTTAATATCATCTTACAGAGTTGAACAAAACCTTTAGATTGCATTGTAATCTGCAAATTTCACATCATTCAATTTCCTCACTTCATAGCTACAGGGGATTTTAATATATTGAGACTCCATCTGGCCAAACAAAAAGTTTCTAATGAAAATGCCTTGGGATTATAGTCATATTATGAACCCCGCAGCAGGTTACCAGAAGTACATGTTGTAACACATATGTGGTGACTTTTAACTTAACACAACCTCTTGGGCATGTATGCTGAGCTAATAACCTCAAATATTTCATCACAGTAACCTAATCCTAAAGCATATCTTGACATTTTCTATTATTATTTGGTATTAGAAAACCTAAAGGCACAGTATTTAAAAACATAACTAATATAAATGCTTTTATGCCTATGTATAGCCAGCAGTAGGGTCACTAGTGTCATCAAATTTCTGATGGATCCTACATCTGTGTACACAGAGAGTCCTAAAAAGAGCAGCGGACAGTGCTTCTTTGTTTAAAACCTAGTAACTTCAGCAAGGAATGTCAAGGCTATGATAGGGAAAAATAGTTACTGAAATCTCACAGTGACACCTACCAAAACGTTTGGTTACAATGCAGCCACGTACATCCTAATTGTGCCTTTTAATAGAGACAAAGTCAAGTGTTGAGATGGAAGCCCAGAAG